TCCCTCTCCCGCTCCCTCTACCTCTCCCTCTCCATCTTCCCCTCCCTCTCGCTCTCGCTCTTTTTCCCCATCCTCGGTGTAGGGTTGTTAGATTTTTTAGTCAGCTAGCTATTACTCGCCCTCCTTCTTTGGGCTCCCCGGGCAGGGCACTCCAGAGAGTCTCACGGCAGTCTNNGGTTGGGCACTCCAGGGAGTGTCACGGTAGTCGCTGGGGTTGAGCACTCCAAGGAGTCTAACGGTAGGTTCTGCTTTGGGCACTTCAGGGGGTCTCACGGCAGGCTCTGGGGATAGGCACTCCAGGGAGTGTCACGGTAGTCAGTCTCACGCTAGTTTCTGCTGCTTTGGGCACTTCAAGCAGTTTGCAGTCTCAGCGGCTTTAACTGCCCACATGACCTGAATCGAACATGCGTTTCGGTACATGTACGAGGATCCCACGACCGTAACGCTAGTCAGTGGTGTGACCCCATGGATGGTCGACTGACCTGAATCGAACACTCGCGTGATCTCGCGTGTTGTTACGTGTACGGTGACCCCACGACCGTGACGCCAGTAGTGGTGTGACCCCACGGATTGTCGACTGACCTGAATCGAACACTCGTGCTTCGTGTACAGGGACCCCACGTCCGTAACGCCACTCAGTGGTGTGACCCCATGGATCTTCGACTGAAAGCAATCGACCACTCGAACGATTACGCCTCCCCATGCTTCTGTACATTGACATAGGCGTCTTGTGTTGGCTCAAACCCCTCCTTTCCGGGTGGTTTGGGACATATGTGCCGAGGCTCCAGATTTTGGGGGAAGCCCGGCTTAGGGTTTAGGGTGCCTGGCTCCGCAAGACAGGGATCGGCGGGCACGTAGTTTTTAGGGCCCAGCGTTTAGCTTTATTTCGTACTTTTTCGGTCCCCGAATCAGCAGACAGAGAGACAGACAGAGACAGAGGCAGAGACAGACAGGGAGAGCGAGAGACAGACACACAGGACGCAGTGTCGGTGTGATTGTTCTTCTCATGTTTCCTTTGCTGTTGTGTTGGTGCTGCCATTCGTGCCCGACTCGTCCTTGCCGTTGTGGTTGTTGTTGCCCACTGCAGATATGCATGCCCAGTATGGCATATGTACATGTAGCGCACAGAGAGACACACAGCAACCGTCGTAACGAGCTGGCCAGGGGCCCTTCATGGATGGACCTGTGTGCCAGACTCCAGAAAGTGTGAACCTGAGCCCGACAACCCTAGAAGTATTCTTTCGGCAACCAAGGCAGTTTCGCCTTGCTGATGCCTCTGAGAGAGCTGCTCCTGCCTTAAGCAGGCCCGTGGATATGGAGGTGGGCGCCGGGCCAAAACGGGCTTATGTTTCTTTTTTGAAAGGGTGAGGCGGTCTGGGAGGGGGATGTTTGAATTGAAATGAAGGGGCGCAATGGTTAACAGCGGGCCGACAGTGCAGAATATGAGGTTGCTAGGCTGTTGCGCGAGCCCTTCGAGTTGAGACTTTCGCGGATGGTGAAGATTTTACCGAGTTGGGAACTACAAAGCTAACAGTAGACTCTCTGCCGTTCCCCATGTTGGCATGGAAGGAGCATAAGGAGATGCAGATTGTGTTCCTTTGAAGAGGCCGCAGTTGTTCACTAAAGGCGAATCCACACGCATATCCACAGCAAATAACATCTTGTTTGCCAACCCTCTGTGCCGTGGTCGAACACCCTTGCTTTCCTGGATTTTAGCCCCGAGGTCGTTGCCAAGGATCTGGAGCAACCGATGCAGTCGGTCAGGTCCGATTTAATCGACCGCTATGTCGGCCTGAGGGGAAGTATTGTGACTCGACTGCAGACTGGCAGTCTAAAACCCATGTACCCCTATCCCTCAGCTTTCGTGAGGGGAGGTCAAACAGGTCTCAGGACTTGCGGATTTTTTTCTGACTACGATTCTGACAGTTTCCCTGCAGTGCGACCTAGTCAGCGAAGCAAAGGGTGGTTGAATTTTGTTCGGGTTTGTGCTCCCGGCTTTGCGATGCTGGGCGCTTGTTTCCGGGTCTGAGATACAGATTAAACATTCCCCGTCCATCCACCGTCTCGCCTTTACAAGCAATTATGTCTTACTTGGGGCAAGATGTATTGACTCCCTTTTGAGGCAGGCCTTGGCTCTGTGAGGGCACAGGAGACCAGAACTCTGTCCCTGCAGTGCTGCCGCCTGCTGCAGTCCTGTAATCCCCATGCACAGCCAAACTGCCGCACCCCGTGAAGCCCCAAGCAAGACTGAGTTTCCACGCACCCCCCCCCCCCCCCCACCCCCGGCAAAGAGAATGACGCGCTGGATGTCATTAAGTCCGGTGCTTGCAGTTCGTTAAGAGTAAGTGCTATGGGTGATGTTAGACCTTGTGGGCTGCAGGAAGTGGTACAAGTAGTTTTGTTTGGGGATTAACGCTCTCACCATGACCTAAAGAATGATAATGATTCGCGATGATGAGGATAGTCATGTTTATGAGGATGGAGTTGGCGAAAGGGCGACCATGACGGCATGATGGCGACCAGTATGGTTCATGATACCGTGGTGGTGGTGATGACGATGCTGGTGATGGTCCTGAAGGCGATGCAGGGGGTAGTGATGTTGGTGACGATGACATGTATCCGATGTTTGCCCTTGTTGAGTCGGCATTTTGAATGTCCCGGAGCTTGCTTCGAAGAAGCAGAAGGTGCGGGCGGCCAACATTGCACCGCTCATCACCGAAGTATGCTTCACCTGCTCCAGGTGCGGCACCGAGGCCCCTTGCGGCACCAGGAGAACTTCTGCTTTCTGTTGGGTTGCATGCCTAGCCTGAGGGTTACGATCTGCCGCACATGACTGTCCATATTTGTGTTGATTTGTTGTTCGTAAACGGCAGTCCTGCCGCCGAGTCTTGGACGCTGCTGCGTTTGCCTTCTTAGTGGCACGGTCAATTTGATCAAATGCATAGCCATTGAAACGAGGTACAACGAAAAAGCATTCTGGCCAGAGTAGTACGAAGGGACGACGTTCTACCATATCGATGCTGATCCGTACACTCCGATGCTGACTGGTGTTTTTCAAGACTGCTTGAACAAAAAGAGAAGCTGTTCAAGACATGAAGCAACTATCACTTCGTGTTTGCATGTAGTGTTCAGAATACTAGGGTCGACCTTAGACCCTCGATAGCTAAAGCTAATTATAATTTCAATCTTGCAAGTTCTTTCATTTCCATTTCCGTGAGCCTTGGCACTGTGAGGTTCAGACCGCTGCTGCCGAGGGTCGCTTTGAGTATCCATCTGGCTCCTGGGCTGGGAGCCGGGGCTTCAGGAGTTCGGGAGACTTTCTATAACGGGCCCCATACGCATCGAAGCAGAATAAGCTTGCGGTGGGTTGTTTGGGCTGCCACGTGCTGTGGGCTTCGTTGGAGCACAGCCCAGGCTGCCCAAAGAAGTGCCGATTCGCGCGATTCACAGCGAACAAGGACAAATGCCAAGCCATCGACTGGCAGAGGATTCGCCTGCAGGAGGACAAATGCGCGCGGGGTGTTTCAAAGCGCTGCAGCACGAATCTTTCGATCGCTATATCTGCTCAGAAACCATCAGCTTGAGCCTTACGCCACCTACAGTATTTGCCCACCCCAGGACTTCTCCGAGCTGGTTGCCTCTGGCGCACCCCAACGTCGCATGCCCCGCACATTGGACTGCGACCCTTGGTGCTTGATCAGGGTTTGGAACTGTTTCAGTGGCTGCAACGAGTTGGCTGCCACATCTGGGGCAGGCATTGCTGGCGTAAGCATTGGTTCATGTGAACTGTGATAGAGGTAGCTGAAAAGTAGATTTCGGATTTACGGGTTTAGATGAGCTGGAAACGTTCTCCGCCTTTTTGTCACTCGCGGCTGGGATCTGCCACCTGTCATTAGTCGTACCATCGAAAAGGCAGCAGTCACAACATTGAGCATGATGTAACTTAATTCCGAGCGGCCATGAGCGGCCTACTGCAGGGATCCTGTTTCCTGCTACTGGTACTGCAAGTTGGGAAGCTCAACTACTATCCGTTACTATCTATCAGCTGTGCCAGTACGAGTATATGAGAACCACTGCTAGTTATGCCATTGGTTTCAGCATGACTCCTCATGCCTCATGCATTCAGGATCTCAAGAGGGCCCTTGTGGGCTCTTGCGTGCCCGGCGACGCCGTGACGCTCTATGGCGTCATCCGCTGCATGCCCACTTCCGGGACCCAGTTTTGGGACAAACGATGGAAGCTTCTTCAGGTTTCTCAACCCCGATTGCGATGCGAGTGTCAAGGGCCTCGCTGATGTCGCTCTCGAGCTTCTATGGCTTCAGAGCTGCTTTAAAAGGATACTTAAAAGGCATTGGATCGATGTAAGATTATTGAGTGCAGAGTCGAAGAGTTCAGGTTCCGGTAGACTTAGAACCTGCTACCGGCAATATTGCGACAGAGAAGGAGAAAGAGCCACAAAACTGCCAGAACTCGCATTTGATGCAGAGTTGTCCTGTAGCTGGGTGCATATACAAGGCAGCAGTTGGAAGTTGGAACAAGTACACGTCTAATTCCTGTTCATTGTCTTGTGCAGAAGGGATTTGCAAGATACAAGTCGCAGGAGAACCCCTGACAGCACTGTAGATGATTCAACCCATCATCGACTGTCGTTTGGTCTCGTAGCCCCGTGAGCAACCCGCGCAGCAAAGAGAAGTCGAGGACAATGTCAGCTGGTGACAGCCGCCAGACGCCGTCAAAGTCGCTTTATGTGCTCTACCTCGAGGTCTCGGTGCTGGAACCGAGTCTTGCTGAGTCACCGCTTCTAGGGCAATTGCGAGAGCCGCGTAAGTTTTGCGTTGGTTGTCTAACACCTGCTACAGGCTACAGGTTCGGGAATGTATCGGGGTTGTCCATGTGATGGCTTGCGGCATTGAGCACTGCGCGGGCTTCAGGCTAAAGAAGGGACCCCAATGAAATCCGACAGCCTACGCACCAAATTCGAGCATTGCTGGTGTTGGTCTGCGCGGTGCTTGAAACTCTGGGACTGAAGGATTGAAGGCTTGACAGGCTGAGGGTTCGGCCTGACGACTGCTAGGCGCGATGCTAGAGCGAAAAAGGAGAAGAGGAAGACATTCGATTAAGAGCTGTGTGCGGCAAGGTCAAGGCCTTGGTGAACACCCGTCGTGCGGAGGGTCTACAGCAGGTTGGAGGTGCGATGCAAACTGGGGAGGAAGAATTTACAGCCCTGCAGCTGTCCTTCATTCGGGAGAGTCTCGGTGGCATTCATGCAGACTGTGGAAGCCAAGACCTGAGGGCGTAGTTTCACGGAACTTCATTCCGGGATTCTCGTGCAAGCTTCGAGAGAGATCGAGGATGTACAAGGAGAAGGAGAAGCTTCCAATCTTAGTCGCTTCCTTCTGCCAGCACATCTACGGGCAGCCTCTGGTCAAGGCCTGCTTGCTGCCTGGGCATTGCATCGTGAGTTCTCAACCCACTTGTTCACATGAAGCCCTTATGCACACGGGGCACAGGGGCGGCACTAGCGTCAATGTCAGAATAATTATTTCTACTGCTACTGCTGCTGCTACTACTACTACTACTACTACTGCACTGCTACTACTACGACGACGACTACTACTACTACTTTTGTTTCTTTTGGCTATTGCCACTGTTTCCATTCTCGCTA